GTTTGGATTAATCATTATAACATTCTGTTAAAAATCTAAAAGTAATTATCACTGGTTTACTACATTACATCAATATTCATTGCATATCGAATGTTGTTGCATTGTTTCAGTATCTATCAGCAAATTATCCAACAAACACTAAGTAAAAATTATATAACTATTATTTGATGTTTGCTAGGTATATTATAATGTACTGTGAACACTATAAGGATATTATATAAGCATAAATTGTAAGAATATCGTTGAAGTCATCGGAGTCACCGTGTGCGCGCTCGATCGTCAGGTTAAGCAACAGTTTAATGCGGTCAGGACATATGGATGGTGACCGATGGGTAATATTGCTTTGGGATCGAAATTATCGCTGGAGGATTCACGAAAATTTGGAGTGTATTTGACAACCTTCGATACGTAATGGTTTGAGACATGAGAAAACTAGAAATATATAAGTATATTTTTTTAAATATTATGATTTTCTCATTTTACACCTTCGCACAATAATTCTCAGTATTTGATTACTATCAATATTTAACAGTGATTTTATTATCAGTATTTACCAGAAATTAAGTACTGGCCAAAAATTACTGAATTACTGGTAATACTTAATACTACTAATAATTTTTCAGTATTTCTTAGTATGATATTTCTGGGATGAAAATCGACCGTCCCCATATAGGAGGATTTTAGACGTAAACCACAATTTTTTTAACATCTACGCATCTTGATCGTTTCCAAAATTCAATTTTGGTTATTATAGTTCTATAATTTATGTTATGTATATTATAGAACCCTTATAGAAATATCATACTAAGAATCATTGATAATTACTTATTATCCAGTATTTTTAATACTGAAAATAAGTAATTATCAATGATTCTTAGTATGATATTTCTATAAGGGAAAATAATAACCAAAGTTGAATTTCACACAGGACATCCTCCGGAGGTGTTTATTTATATTTCGCTCAAGAGCCGGCCGATCTACGGCAGCTGGCGGATAATAACAGCCGAAGTGCGACAACAACACTTCTTCTCTCGCGGCGCCATTAATGCACGTGTATATGTATATACAGGGTGTTCCAGCTCAATTTTACAATCTCTCATGAGAGCGTAGAGCGTATTAAGGTGAATACGAAAGTTTTATACCGTTTTGCGATACTCGCAATAACTATCGAGATATCAATTAAAGAAGAGTTGTAAATAATGACGTTTAATATGGTGAACTGTAGTGACGACATCTGCCGTTATATCCCAGGTAACACATATACGTATCAAAAACGTTTCTTAAACGTATTTATAGTTTCAAAACCGTAAAGCACCAATAAGAAACGTTTTAACAAGAACCTTTCTGAAACCTTATTTATGAAATGTTTATAAAACATTTTAAAACGTTTATAAAACGTTTCTTCAACAATTTTTTTTGCAAAAATAACGTTTCACCTAACGTTTTTTGAGTAGACATTTTTACTCATAAGAAACGTTTCAGAAACGTTATGAAACATTTCGGAAACGGTTATGAAACGTTTAGTTCTAACGTTTATAAAACATTTCTAAAACGTGTGTGTGCTACCTGGAATGCTTGTATGTATATTAGATCAAATTGAACAAAAAAATCCTGTACCACTTTGCAAATGACCACATTTTTAGTTATTAATTAAAAAAGATTTGTGCAATATCGCGCACAATCATGCAACAATTTCTTTTTATTGATAACTAAAAATCTACGTGGTTATTTGCAAAATAATAAAAGGCTTTTTTGTTCAATTTGATCTAATGTACAATGGCAGATATTTTCACTGCAGCTTATCTACCATATCATGCATGATTATTTACAAATCTCCTACAATTAATATCTCGATCATTATTGCGATTTTCGCAAAACAACATAGGACTTTTATATTCATCTCAACTCGCTCTAAGTCTTTGCGAAAAATTGTGAAATCGAGCTAGAACATCTTGTATATGTGTGTGGGCGTGCGTGCGTGCTGAGTATATGCATGTGTATATGATACAGCTTAACATACATATATATGATATAGCTTAATAATAACATTTAATATAGCTTAATAATAATATTTTTATGTTAACATCACATTTTTATAATTTATCTACTTTATTTTATATTATTACTGACTTTGAAACTATTATCTCTGAATTACAATGAATTGAAACTATTATCTCCGAATAAACTTTGCGTATGTAATTGCGAGGACGTAAAATATGTAGTCAGTGCCCGAAAGAGCAAATTTTTGTACGTATCCACACATTTAAATTAAATTCTTCAGCATGTTTTCGTGCTGAAAGCATCATTGTATTTTTCCCAGTATGTAATTAGCAATAAAGATAGAATGGTACTTTCAGTATGAAAGTGTGCAAGACACATACATACAAAAAGTATAAATATGAATAGGCAACTTACGCGTGGTATACTTTGCTAATGTCAGCGGCATCTAAAGTTTATCAACATATATTTATATTAAAATATTAATTATATAAAAATTATATAAATAATATAAATATTTATATAATTAATTATTTATATAATTATTTATATTAATATAATTTATATAATTATATTAATTATTTATATAAATATTAAAATTTTAATTATATTAAAATATTTAACCAAAAGAATTTTTATTGTAGAGCTTTGAAAAGCTTTCTATGGTAGTTACAAGAATATTAAATAAATAATAGAGATTTCTGTTTGAAATGTTAAAATTGTTCTTGAGATCTTCTTTATATCTATAAATAAATCACTCAAGATCAAGCAGGTATCGTCATTTGATATATCTGTTGAAACTCTATAACTTTTGTATATAACATTATTTTCTCAAGTGCCTCGTTTTCGAGATATTTTACCGGTCTTATACTTTTTTTACGCTCTGTACATATAAATATATACACCGAGCGCGCACGTGTAAGACGAGAATTACAATCGCGTGTCACGTTGCGTATCACTCATTGGTCATCGCCATAAACGTTCAACGTCACATCGAATGATCTAGGTGAGAATCGATATCATCAAGGACGAGTGCTCGCTCACGACCATAAAGCGCAAAGACACTGTTGGTACGGCGCCCGAGATAACAATAATGAATTCACCGTGTGTTTAGCCTTCGCCGTCGATTTGCGACGTGCCTCTTATTGCTGTCACAATGCCGCGCCGTTTGGTCGATTAATTTTTCAACGGTCACTAATTAAGTGTCGAGCGACATGTTCACTCGTTCGCGAGCTTCGCGCGAATCGCAATTACACCTACGTTTTGTACACACCGTGTAATTACATTTGTGCCAGCCACAAATGTCGCTGGTAATTCTATGTTTATTCAAAGTATGTTATCGAGGCAGTTATCTGCTGTCAAACTGCAGCTCCGAGTATTCGTAGCCTCAGCTACAATCACTCGCGGAAAGAGCCACGAGGTCTGCATGTACATACGCGACGACTTGGCGTACTGTTCGCGCGCGTCGAGTCCGCTTAAGAGTAACTTAAGGTGAACTGGGTCGACTCTCATTCTCACATTGGATGTATTGAGGTTACGTTTCATTGGTTGTCTTTCCTCGGTTAAAACGAGTTGGAGGGATCTCGGAAATTCTGGATTCTCACGGCGGTACTCTAGATGCTCGTCACAGTCATTGAATGATCCAATGGACTGACCTGAATGATCTACATAATGCCGACACGTTCCAATTGTCTTACGTAACACGACGAGTTCATTGATGTGCTGGTGACTGAGAAAGTCTTTATCTGGGACACTCAAAATTTCTTGGAGTTATGGTTCACTTGAGACGAGTGGAGAAATAGTCGGAGAAATGGTGAAAATATTAGTCACTCAAAATCGCATAAGTGAATATTTAAAGTGAATATCCCGATTAGTGACCAAGTAACTTTATTGTGAAAATAAACAAATTAATTAATAATGTATGTGTTAAATTAAGTAATTAAAATTAAGTTTGTTGAGAAGCTTGAAGATTTGAGATTTGAGATTTGAGAATTGTTATATTTTTCTAATTTACGGAAAAATTTTACTTTATTTATAACATTTTTTCAAAGGCGGCTAATGTATTATTTATAATGTATAATGACATGATAGTTTTGTTTTGTCCCAATTATTAATTTATTAATATTATTAATTTATTAAAAAAAAATAATAGAAAATTATTATTCGAACATCACGAATCGGTACAGAATCATGAACGTATTATTAACCTGTTATTGATTTAAATATGACAATTTATAGACTAACTAACTTAGGCTTGGTTGCACCAACGTTATTTTGATTTTAAGTGAGACTTAAATATATGTCTGTGTTCATTTATTAAAAAAAAAAAAAAAAATAGATATATCCCACACAGCAGAGATGTCCAAAATATATCATAAGGATATCCTAAAAATATATTTAGGATATGCGATATTTTCAAGATATCCCTATGATGTATTTAGGACATTTTTGCTGTGTGGGATGTTTAAGTTTCGCTTAAAGCCAAAATAATGTTGCAACTAAGCGTTAATTATCCGGCGTTATTTGAGTTATCACAAAGTGTCAAAGAGATGAAACTCAGGAAAAGAATTGTATACTAACACAATTTGATGAAAATTATAAACATGAATAAATTTACTAGAAGATTTACAATTTTATTGATCAACATCAAGTGAATTTGTTCACTTTTGTAATTTTTACTACGTTGTGTTAATACGTTTGTAATCGATCTTTTGGTTTCATGGTTGTCTATATTTTCTATAAAGTAACTATGTAAAATTTGGGTCGGTATTCATAGTGTAATTTTATATTTAAGACCGTCTGAAGTTCATCTTCAGATAATATACGGATCATTTCATTGGCTACGAAGTATCTGAAGGTGAACTTAAAACGGTCTTAAATATAAGACCCGACTATGAATACCGGCCTTGGTCCAGATCGGTTAACGGATTTAGAAACTAATAATAATATACACAGCATTCTATTTAAATATACAGGGTGTCCTATTTTAACTTACACACCGAAATATGTCGAAATGTACAAAAAAATACGGAAAAATGTTTCAAACAAAAGTTGTATGGTTCGATGAAAAACATAAGAAGGTACCATTTATTTGACCTTGGGTGGTGTCACCAAGTCGAGGTCAACTTTGATTTCTTTAAATAGAAACATATACCTTTTATTATGGAATTTTATTCCACGTAAAGAAAAAAGCAACTTTTGTTTGAAAACATTTTTTATACATATATTTTCTAAGATATTTACGGAAATATCTACAAAATTATTGGTTTTAATAATTTTTTACTCGAATTCTATCAACTTTACCAAAAAATAAAAATTGTTTATTTTCTTCTCATAGAGCTCTGAGAATTTTTTAGAATTTTTTAATTAGCTTTTTAGTAATGCATTTTCTTGAAGTATATATATATATATATATATATATATATATATATATATATA